TTTAGACCTGTAAAACCAGTAGCTGCCAGGAACTGCATGGGCACATTTACAACAGAGTGGTGACACTTTGCAGGACTTTTATCAGTAGCTGCCTTTAAAAATACAACTGAAACGACTTTCAGTTTTGTTCCTTCTGAGCTTTCTCTCCCCATATGTTTTCTAGAATTTCTCAAGCTTCCCCATGAAAATTGTTCCTGTTGCAGTCGTTGGGCTCACAAATTCCTGTTTTCATTTGTAAGCAGCTGAGTAGGTGCATGGTGGTCAGGCAGTGATGTGGCCTTTGCGTAGAGATGCTCCACGTGCAAGAAAGCAAAGGTGCAGCATTTCCTTCCAGCACTGTGCTGCCTGAACCAGCAGGGAAAGCAGCAGCAGCAGCAGCCAGAGAAGCCTGAATTTTAGAAACTGGGGACAACTTCACAGAGCTCTGCTGCTTGAATTTGTTTTGTTTTAATCCAGGGACAGGTAACTCAATCAAAATGTAAGACTTTAGATGACCCTATACAAGACAGGTCATAATTGTCCAACTTTAAATCCTTATTTGACAGTTACCATGACAAGTGTCACTTTGTCCTGCAGAGGCTTCACATTCCATTTCTTAGAGGTACCAGTGGACATGAATTTGCTACTGGTTCCATTGTTTCTATCACCTAAATCAACTTACAAAATTTATTTTTGAAATCAGCTACTATAGAAATACCTACTGAATAAATACCTGTTTGCTAATTTTCTGCAGTTAGTTGCATTAAATTCATGAGGATGGATCAATTTCCCAGCTTAAGTTTCCATTACCTTTTGAAACACTTCATTAAAAGGAGCACCTTTTTCTTGTAGCTTTGACACAAAACAGCCAAGGTTGAAACTAAAGCACCTGAGCTACATGGAAATTTTAAATACACCAATACCTGTTGTATTTCCTTGTATTCCCAAGCACGGACAATACACAAGTTGATATACTCTGGCAGCCTTTCTGCAAAACATGGGGAGAGGCAGCACAAGCAAAAATCCTCCCTTGTTTTGTTTCCAAATCTAAGCCTGGCTGTTACACCAACATTAATGCAACCCCAGAAAGTCAGTGGGACCACAACACAGGTAAGGATGTGCAGAACATCATCTTGTTTTAAATGACTGTTACTGGAGGATTGAGCTGGTGGGTGCAACAGATGTCTGTGTTTTCATGGAGTCCAAAATCCTCCTAATTAATGGTCTCCATACTGAAACAGAGGAACATATTATTAAACAAATTAATGTACAAAGACACTTCAAAACACGCTGATATTGCCCCAAACAGAAAAGAGGCGGAAAGAAAGGAGGTGCCTACGCATATGAGCAAGGAGAGAGAACAGAAACCAGACAGCAGAATACCTGTGAGCACACTCCTAAGAAAAAGCTGAAAGGGAGCTCTTTGATCTAAACACTTTCTTGGTTAAAAGGTCTTTGAGCTGCAAGCAAAAAAACTATTCTCAGCTATTTGATGCCCTCTGTATTCAGGGAAACAGGATCTTGCACATTCTTTATCAATAAGAGGAATTCCAGAGATACCTGAGCCTCCACCACCAACCTCTCTCAAGAACACAAAACCTTGAACTTTGATCACTCACTTCTGTCGAAAGGGGTAACAGTGTGAGTTGTCCTCCTTCTTCTTTCCTTAAAAACTGTAAAGATAAACCATTCACCCAGAAAATGTGCTGTATAGGCTACTTGCAAATAAAACAGTGCTTTAGCTTCCAAAGACAACTCTTAAATACACTTAAATCTAACAATTTAGTAGATTATTCAATGAAAAAAAAATTGAATCCATAACGTGGAGATAAAATTTGAGTTTTTGCATGAAGAAAAAAATTGCAGTTATTACAGTTTGAAAACAAGCAACAACAACAACAACAGCAAAAAACCACACAACAACCCCCCCCCAAAAAAACCAAGGAAACCCAAAACCTCAAAAAAACCCACCCCAAAACAAAACCCCCTTAGTAATTAGAGCAGTAGAGGTGGACTGCTCCTCTATAGGGTGCCTAGTCCACCCCTGCTCAGAGCAGGCTGCCAGGCCTGTGTCCACTTACCACACATCAAGCATATTCAGGTTCAGTGATTTCTTCTTTTCCCTTGCCAACACTTCCAACCCAGCCTGGGTTTCAAGTCTGGAGCTTGGCAGTTTCCTGCCCTCATGTCTAAGGCTAAGTACCTTCACAACACTTGTACAGCACTTCTTCCTCGGCTGAGCACAAGTAGCTTGTTACAACCAAGAAGTTTGCACGTGTTCAATTTGTAGCTCCCTGTTTCTCAGGTGTACTTTTTCAGAGCCTCAGGACTAACAGCTCTGCAACAAGCATTTCCTGAGTCACACCAGTAAAACTGATGTAGCTTAGTTCACAGACTTCAGTTCTTCCCTCTTCAACCCAAGAAACAATAATCTAAAAGAGAGAAAAGCAATGCACCAAACCTACCACACAAGTACTTGGAGACAGAATCGTAACTTTGATACACTGATAAAAACTGCAACTGCTTATTTATGGGTATCCCAGATTTTAAATTTACTTAGTATTATGAAATGTTAACTGTTTTGCCATGAACATTCACAGTAAGAAGGCGACTTAGAACAAAGCAATTACTCAGCTATTTTTTTCCAAGTAACATTTATTAATAACATTCTCAAAGTGATAACTTAAGAGTCACAAGGAAAGGGGCTGTTGTCAGTAAACATAAAAAGAAAGGTAGTAAGATATTTCTATTAAAGTACAACTAACAAGGCTTGTAACAGTGTTTAGCCCAACCAAAATTTAATATTAAAGACATTCAAAATTGCTAGAAGTGTTGCAATCAGTTCTATTGAACTTATAAAACTTCATTTCAGTAGTCAATACTAACCTATTACTTATATAAAATTCTCCATTCTTAATTTTTGTAAACAAAGCACCTAAGCATTTGAAAGAAAAACGTTAGTTTACATCCCATTAAACTGCAGCACATGTGTGAGAAACCTCAGGCATGATCAGACATGGAGCGTTATTAGGCACAGAACAAGACAGAGCTTTCACAGTCAGCTGCTGAACACACTTACATTGCCAAAGGTCTTCTTTATTTATACTCATTCCATTGTCATTTATAGCTGAACATCTAATAAATCCTCCATGCAGATTTCAATGAGAAAAAGGAGTCATATTACATAGGTTTGTGAAGCTTCTGAGGGCTCTGATTTGTGCATGACTTGGAATGAGTTATGACCTCTTTATCTCCTTCAGGAATTTTCAGAAACTTCTTCAAAACCCTTTAACTTTGGCAGACCCTGGGCTTGTCAAAGAGCATGACAAAACACCAGGAGACAAGTTTTCAGTCTGCTATTGGAACACTGAGGTATGCTGTAATTGATTACAAAACGCCAGTCAAATAAAAACTGAGGATGACCATGGCATTCTGAGGCTGTCAGTTCAAGCTCAAGTCAAGGGGGGGAACTACTAACACACAAAAACTGCTTGTAATTTCTGTTGTCTTAGGGAAGCTGCAAACAAGATGTTTATCTTACCCGTATCAACTGGCACCACGGTCAGTCTGTGTGATGGCAACAACTTCTAACCCAGGCTGTCAGTCTGTGCTCCTGACTCTTGTGAACAAAAGTTTAAACTCCACATAAATTACATAAAGCAGTGAATTTGCACTAAGCCTTTGTTAACTGCCAATATAGATTTACAATTGTCTTACTTAGCACACTGCCAAAGTAAATCTAGCTAAACTAGATTTAATCTGGGTAAGTTTTCCTGAGCTGACGTGCCCCAAACTAGCTGTAAATGTCTCGAGGTGACCTTCAGAGGAACGCGGAGGCACTGCAGGAAAGCCTCCATGGCCACTGCCCAGCATGTGCTTACTCCTTGCTTTCTCCAGGGCTCCTGAACTTGTACTGGCTATAGGAATGGCATTCATTTAAAGAATAGGAAAAATGTTTTAACGACTACCTGACATTAGCACTAAGTGAACTCAGTGGTCTCCCGTTGTTGCCTTCTCCAGTTTTCTTTGGTGTAAAGTGTTAGCATTACAGTTATACAAATTCTCTATGCCTAATCCCCCTCAATTTGCAGTTCTTGTTTCAGGAAACAAATGTCAAACAAACTCAAACTCTTCTAAATGCAAACTAATGATTTAAACTATTTATCCTTTTCCAAGACTTCAAAGGCTAAAACAAAGTAAGATTAAACAGTTAAACACATGCATTGGCCTTAACTAACACAGGCACTACTGGCACTATTCACACCTGCTGTTTTGTCTATCGATTGCAAAAAATTTTCAGAAGTAGTTAAAAAAAAGAAAGTATGGTGCAGATGTAAAAGCTAAAAAAATCTGTCCTGCCTTCCCTCATCCCTTTGAACTGAGCCACAGCCAAATGAAGACCACAAATACAGACCTAGTCTCAATGGGTAGGAGAAGTACCAGACCAAAGTTAACATTTCATCCCACCCCCCAAAACATCACTTACTGAGCGAAAAATCTCTTGCCTTTCACACCACCTCCTCTGTCAACTCTTCCAGGAGCTGCACAGAAGTTTCCAGGACCACTGTGTAAGTACCTCCCCCTTTTTATTTTTTTGAAATGTTTGGTGATGTATATAATCCAAAGACTTGCATCAAAGCCTAACAATGTTCAGACTTAAGGCATAAGCCAGTGATACAGTGAGGGTGTGGGGAGAAAGATCTCACAACCCCAAGCTAGATTTGCCCTGTCATTTATTTTATGGCTTACAATGTACACAGACATATACACTGTCTATTGAATTACTTGTAGTAATGGAACTACAGCTTCATTCTTCAGTTGCTATAGTTACATTATTACCCAACTTTGCATTCAAAATCTGTAAAGAAATTCTATGGAGGGTACTTAGTTGTATTTTTTTTAAAGAAACTTGACTAGTCTTAACCAAAATTTAAAAAAACCCCAAAACATTTCATGCATCAAACTGATACGGGCAAGCAACTTTTATAAAAATATACTGTATAGAAACACAGTTGGAAAACTGCATAGAAAATATCCTTTTATTTAAATCAAAATAAGGCACGGTTGTGCTAGCTATGGTTTGGCTGTAAAAATGCAAGTCATTTTTGATCACTCTTATGTTATTAACAATATTTTCCATAAAAATATAGGTGCAGGAATAAAAAAAAACCCTTTTACACAGAGTGGGAAATACTCTATTGTAAAATTTCACCCAATTAACTGTAATTCAGTTGTAGAAAATTCAAATGCTATTTTAAATCAGGATCCCACACGTTATTGTCCTCCAGGCTGCTCAGTGGCTGGTACTGTGCCTTCTTCATTTCCTGTGTAATCCAGGTGTTCCATCATCTAAATGTCAAAAGGAAACAGAAAAAAGAAAAGAGAGATGGCATTTAATACAGGAATGCTGCTTTTCCCCCTTGATCCAAAGTATTTGTTAGCTAAGAAAAATATAATTAAACATGTGCTAGAAAATACATTTTAGCAGCATACGGATAGAAAGTCCTCTATAGATCAGAAAAGTATTCAAGCCAAATAATCAAGAGTTCTCTTAGCTAATACTTTCCACTACAAAAGCATTTTCCAACCAGGAACCTAAGTCTTCTACAAGAAATTAAACTTCTGAGTCAGAAGTATCTCAATTACTAAATAAAGAGAACAAAAAGCCAATTGCAGTCAAACAAGTTTTTCAGAGACATGGTTTACACACCTGGAAGTAGATTACAGGATTTTACCTAACCTTTACAGGCATCAAGCAATAGCTTGAACAGAACAGACTAGTTTTTTCTTTCCAGGGCTGTAAAGGCTAGCTATATTACACTTAGGAAAAACTAACTGTATTGGTAACATTTCTTTGTAAATTTCCTTTTATTTTAAAAAGGATAAAGGAAATGGAACTGTAAAGTTCTGCAACAGAAGAGAGTCTAAACCAGATCACTATGTAGACTGATGATACTTTCCAATTAATGTAACCAATTCGGTCACCTGAAGAACACAAGACAAATTTGTGCTTCTCCTGACTGAAAAGCAGTCTGTTTCCCTATCCACTGCTGTATTGCTGGAGGGCAACAAAGGCTCTGGTTTCTCCCCTGGGACAAGGCCTTGAACAAATTAGAGAAGTAATAAACACATTTCTTAGTGTGACAAACTGAGACCCATCAGCCTGAGGTCTTTAGAATTAAGCATAATTAACAAGAGGCCAAGACCTGGACAGTTTTGGCAGCTGACAATCAGATATAGAAGTAGTACGACTAATGCTGAAAACCATCATGTGTCAAAGAGCTGATATGCCCAGTGTGGCAGGATTACTGGGACAAGGGATAATGCTTTCAGCATCAAAAGGTAGAAACCCCCACACAAGTTCTTCTATAGTGTTTCACCAACATGCTATGCAGTAAGCTGAAATGACAGTTCTTAAAAACAAATCAGTGGGATTTGGGTAATGCTTAGGAGAGCCTAGTGGCCACAGTATCAATCTGACTAAGACCAGAGAAGGTCTTTCATGTCCCTCCCTTCATGTGTCAGAATTGAGACAATAAGAATTAGAAGACACCAGTCTCATCAACAGAGCAAAGAACTGAGTTACAGCAACAGCACACACTCGGTCCAGCAGTGAATCCCCAGTTCCTGTGCTAATGACAATCTTGCATTCATTTAGCATATCCAGAACTTTCCCCTTGCACTGTGACCAGCTCTCCACATCAAAGGTCACCCAAAGCAAAACACTCCCTACAATTACAGAACTCAAACCATCCCTTTGAACGAGGATTGAAGTATTTGCTTCCAGGATAAAACAAGAACAACCTCCCCCCACAGTACCATATTACATCAACTCATGCCATGTATCTTCCTTCATCCTAGGGAGGATCATCTGACAGCTGGCATAGAGAAAGGAGTTTTGGTAAGCAGTTTTGTACAGTTTTCCTACAAAATTGACAAGTTGCTTCTAGAAACAAGTTAGCACTATGAAGATTCTCCTCTTAATCCTACAACACTGTAAGTAGCAAAAAATGTACTTTTTGGTACAAATGCTGGAGACAACACCTGTATTTAAATTTTAAAGTAATTTGTAATTAGATGTTTAAGTTAACTTTAAAACCAAAATGCCTAGCAAAGCATTAGAATGTTACAAGGCTCAAAAAGCTACCCCACTGCATTTCTAATCTCTCCTCCACACAGAAGGGGAGCCCACAGCTTGAAGCAGGGGACAACAACTGCCTCTCTAACAGTGTGAGATTGCATTAAGCAGCTTTTCCCACATATGTATCTCTGCTGTAGGTCCTCTGAGGACAACCCCATCCTCAAAGCCTCAGCAGAAGTTGCAGGAATCTTTATGACGACCAGCAGCAAGATGAAGGCACTGTGCTAAAATCCTGGACAGAGTTGTTTCAAGCAAATCAGACCATACATTCTGGAGAGCTGATGAACATTTTCAAGAGTGGAAGAGATTCAGAAGCTTTGCTCCTACATTTGAATTCCTGACAGTTTTTACGTGGGAGGTGTCAAGACAGCTTCGTAACTAAAACACATTCATGTTTAACCTATCTCCTAACATGGTGAACTATTAAAAACTCAAAACCTCACCCCGAAAAAACACTCCCACGGAGCCAAAGTAGAAATGGCAATACAAACTCCTACCTGTAAGAGCACCCAGTACCTATGCTCACACTTGCCTGCAAGATTCGCTTTGACGATGTTGCATTCACAGAATCCTTAACAACTTACAGCTATGATGAATTAGCAAGTACCTAAAGATGTGATTATAAAAATTCCTGTACTAAATAGCAGGTGCATGCTATGCAACATGCCAATGCCAAATCTGCTGATTTATGACTTTAAAGAGAGGTAAGATGTGCTAAACACTTCAAACTGACAAGCTTAAAGACATTGCAAGACTATTTTGTGCTGAAGACCTCAGAGTCACATTAGTCCACTAGACTTATCATGATGTTACTAAGATTATTTCATAGATTGTAGTGATGCAAAAATAGATTTTTAACATTAAATCAATAACTGGAAAATAAGTATGAAACTACTTTATCATACAGGCATAAATGAGGAGTGTAAGCAATCCAGAAAACCTAGAAAAACCTTTATTATACACTTCACAACAGCAATACCTCCCATTTAGGTGTCAGGAAAGCAGGTATGCCACTCTCCCTGTGCTTCAATGAATAGCTCAAATGTTTTTCTGTGCAGCAACTCATTACAGCTCGAGACTATTCCATAAAGAAGCCACACACAGCATAACAAGAACCTAAGACAGCATCATTATGCAGAAACAAATGATCTCAACTACGAATTATGGGACCTCAGAGCTATCTCGAGGAGTCAAGTATTTGTCATATGTATAAAGTAGGAACTGCAAAACTGACTTTAACAAACCTATCCAAGAACTTGAGTGCACACAGCAGGACATAAGAATTTTAAGTTATAAAAATAGTCTGGCCATCTGCTTTTAATTTGCACTCAGCCCTTCCTACTTCCTAATATCATCCTACATCTATATCTAATTTCTTTATTATTAAGGCTTTTTAACGAGACATGAATTGTTAAAACACTCCTTATTAGAAGGAAGAAGCTAGTGAGAAAAGTACTTTTTAGTTCAGAATTTAAGACACAGGCAGAATTCACCATCTCAAACTGTCTTCAGTGTACAAGGCAGACACCCTATGCTTTATAAATAGATGCAGAACTGCAGACTGTCAACTATAATTCAAGATTATATTTAAATGCTTAAATTCCACAAGAAGCTGAAATTTGAAAGCTTGCATTGCTCTCTCCAAGCTGCGTGGACACTGAAAATAAATACCAGCAGTGTTAGCAGCCCTAAGCTACAGCCAAGAAAGGTCAAACCTTGGTGCAGTCCAGACACTGTGCAGTGGCAAGAGCACAAAACCTGCTCTGAATCCTTGCTCCCCACCCCACTGCAGGCAGTGTAGACAGTACAGGATAAAGGATGCTGTGGAGTAATAAGATGACAGAGGGACTATACACATGATTACTAAAGGCAAATTACAATGTTGAGCATTATAACAGAAGACAACAAAATTGTTGAGCAGCACTAAGCAGGTTTTCAGGTCAACAAAGTGACACAGAAAAATCAGGTGAAGGATTTCAGTATAGGCAACAGAAGAGGAACTAACAGCAGTTGTTATATGAAGACACTCCTAGGGATTTGGGAAATTAGAGAGTAGAGAAGTATACAAAACCTGCCTTCAGGCTCAGGAATCATGGCTTCATTGACACTATACATTACATTTTCCTGTATTCCTTATTAAAAAAAATATCAAAACCCCAAAACACCTAAGTGTGAATACAGATTTATGTCTTGTCTTCAGCTCTACACTCCGCTATTTTTGAACACTATTCAGAAAAATTAAAAAGTAGACTCAAAAAAGACTGAAAAGACGAAGCAGAGGGGGAAAAGAAGAAAAAAGCAACCATAAAGTAATTAATAAAGCTGCATTAAAAGAAGGCCATAATCACACCTTGTAGCAAAGGCATCCTGGAGGGGTCCGATACCTAAATAAAATCATTCCATTATTAAAATCATACACAACAAAAGTCAGAAAACCCCAAAACTCAAAAAATCTAACTAAGGACTATAAACAAACAGCAGCATTATGAAGTTCAGTTACCTGATGCACTGTCCATGCCCTTGTACCCCTATTTTAGGGCACTGTTCTAACAGCTGTACCAGGTTTCTCTGTACTCTACACAAGTCTGGGCACCCTTGTCAAAGGGGCAGCTCTGCTCCAGTCCAAATCACTACTGTTGTGGCAAAAAAAGTCTTCAGTCACCTTCCTGTATCTTTCCTCTTCAGAATAAGCACAGAAAGCTGGAGATTTCAAACTTGGGCCTGTGTGGGTTGGGGTGGTTTGGTTTTTTTCTTTGTTTGTTTGAGGTTTATTGGCATCTTTGTTTAAGTTCAATAAGGACAGTTCAAAATACAGCTTAGGTGAGGAGAACAACACATGAAATAGATCAATACTGCAGCATTTCCACAGTGCAACTTGAATTACAACCTCTGGGAAGAAAAATTATGATTAAAAATATTCTTCAGAAAAATAGGACTTAGTAAAGTCATACAGAGGTGCTCAATCACAGACAAGTCTAACTCAGGGATGGTGGAGTGGAGGTTGAAATCAGCATCTTAAATTGTGCTAGAAATGAAGTCATCTGACCTCAAAACAAGCTGAAGTTCAGAGCAGTTTTAATCCTTCAAGAAACCAGTTGAAAGGACATGAAATAACTACTATGGCAACATAATTCTTTCAAGTATGAGTTTTGCTACAAGAAGTGCAAGAAATTTTTGTTGCTAAGGAGAGCTGCCAAATTTACTTAAGTAAATCTCACTCAGAACTCAAGTGAGGAAAATAAAGTGCAAAGCATTTCCCCCCCAACAAATCCAGAGTTACTGGGCTGCATATGTGTGATGCTGTTTATTTTAGAATAGCAAACAGTCACCAGTTTATATATAAATGCATGTGGTAAGTCAAATTCATTCTGACCTACAGAGAAACATTTCTGTTCACTGGACCTATGAAAGGAGAAGAGTTGTTTTTGCAGACAAAAAGGCTGGGTGTTTAGTTAAGGCTGAAAACCTCCTGAGTAATTTCACACCTAGCCAGCCTCCAGCTGAAGCAGGTGTAGAGTATTAGTTACACGAACAACAGGAAACGTTTAGCTGGTAGGACTCTAAGAGCTGTCTGCCTGCAGTTTGGCATTTACAAAAACTACCCTTGACTGCACTGAGCCATGGAAGTTAAACCTTGCAATCCATAAGCTGGAAAAGCAGGAGCTGCTCCTTTACACCAACAACTTGGCACCCACCTCCCCCCACAACAGAATATTCATTCTCCAAGTTCAACATGGGCTAGATACGGGTGACAGTGTCTGAATTCAAACAGTACTGGACTTTAGGTCTCAAACAAAACAATCTTGAGACTGGTCTGTCTTATGATAAATGTGAGCTTACAAAGGCTACTGGGACACTTGCTTAGTGCAAGTCACATCAGGGGAAATGGGCACGTGTCAACACCAGAGCAGACAGCTGGTGGGATTTTAAGGACAGCAATTGCTACACATAAGCAAAGGGGAAATGCAGAATACCCAGGGCAGTGTGCCCACAGTGCGTGCTGTGACTGGGAACAGTTACAGAACCACTCAGGTGCTTAGCTGCTGAATGCTCCTACACCTCCTGATGACACTGGTGATGCATGGGAAGTTTCTAAGAATTCATTGATCACCAACTTTTTGAACTGTGTCTAATACAAGACTACTGCAGATTGGAGTCTTCATGCTTAGACTCATGTTATACTACATCAAGATGACAGATGAGGAATGTTAAAACACAAAAACACATTTCAGAGGAAACAGAACAAATTGCTTTTTCCCCCTGAGTACTGAACCAGCTATGTCATCTCCCTTAAGCTTCGTTCTGCCATATCAAATATTGGACTGAGATTTTCTAAGAGTAAAGACCACTTTTCCTTATTAGGTCCAGGAAGACTAACAAAAATTGGATTGCAGGTGATGTATTACCAAGTGCTCAGACAAGCATATACTCCAAGGAATTAACAACAAAATACTCAATGCATCCAGCCTACCTGGTAATTGCTTCCTTTCCAAAACTTCTTCATCTCTTTGCGCTTCCAGGCAACAAGTGAGCTAGTAATGAGTGTACATGGTACAAGATAGAGAAGAGCAGGTTGTCCCATCTTTGTTAATGCCAAAACAATGAAAGTCAACACCATACCAACGGCATAAGCTGTAAAAAGATATTGAGACATACCCAATCAAGAACAGGAGAATTTTTAAATAAGTCACTCATTTAGTAAGCCAGAATTACATTTTTTTAAAGCACTAGCATCCTTGGTAATATAAATGAAGAAAAGAGAGACAATAGGTTGCTCTGTATTTGCAAGATTTCTCCAAGCAACTGACTACCATAAAGAACAGACAGCCACACTCAAAAGAGTTTATAAATAGACTCTTGACATTGAATCTTTACCTGAATAAAACCATCCAGTTCTGCCATTTAACAAAAGCTACCATCTAGATCAACAAAGCTGAAACATCACATGATTTACCTATTGTGCAGGAAATGTAGTATACAGAAGATGAACTTGTTTGCACATCAAATCTCCGACAATAGGCAACCAGAAGCCCTTGAATTGGAAAAAAAAAATAGGAAAGGGATTAGTGAAATGTTTAGCCATAATTTTTTTTCTTCCTAATCCTCCAAATGAAAGCAACATAGAAAGAATTTATAGTAAGACTTCCCATTATTGTATGTTATCTTCTTCCCATTTATTTCTAGAAAGTCAAGTCTTGAAAATCAAAACCATAATGGAAGTATGAGCCAGGTGAGCTTGGTGTTAAAAGGTTTTAGTTTTTTAAGCAAGCTAATTACACTGTGCTATTTTCAGTTTTCTGACACAGAAAAGGAACAACCTACTTTTCTTCAATAGGATTCTAATGCTCACTCTTAACATTCAGCAATTTTGCCTGCAGGTGTCTGACTTAAGTAATTTGCTCAAGACTCCAACTATGCCAAAATTCAGCTCTTCTGAGAAAGATGGAAAAGCTTGGTATTACATTTTCCATTACCTCACCTCTAATTAGGTAGTCTAGGAAACAAAAATTCTATGAAGTCACAGAACACTTGCTTTCTGTGTGTTTAATTAATACTAATAACTGTATTGATCTATGGGACTTGTTTTTACACAATCCAGTGCAAGAGAAAAGAAAAAACCCTTTCACTATTTAAGTGCTCTGCAACATACTAAGCTTTCTTCTTCCATTGTGGCATTTGTTGTATTCCGCACTGACAGGTCAAATCAAACTGCTGCATTTGATTTAGTAAATACTCTGTGAATAAACTCTACTATGAGAATCAAGCCCAAAATATTTAATCATAAACTACAATTACTAAACCATTTGCTCACCTGGGACAATAATGTCTCCAAAACCCAGCAATGAAAATGGCAAGTCACACAGTGTTGATGCAGAGTGTTCAAGTCTAGGCACTCTAATAACCACAGGTAACTGTAAAACAGTATTTCAGAAGGCACATAAATCTCATCTAAAGTATCCTGGTGTTTTGGACTTTTTTGTTGCTTAAATTAATAAACACTTTAGATATAACTAATTTAATGTTAACGTAGAACTTCAAAATAGGTAGAACCTAAAGTAAAAACCAGAAACCAACATAGAAAGTAGATAAAGCTTAAGGCAACAGGTAAGCTGGAATTTCTGATTTACCAATAATACACACAAAACACACAAAAAGGAAGTTAAAACAGTATTTAACCATATAATGGGAGTAACAAACCTGGATTATTAACCTAACTATAGAATACTGATCAATGATATCCAGGCCCTGAAGAGAAATTTGGAGAGTCAGGTTTTCCCCAGAAGAATAGTCTTTTCAGAGGGAATCAGTTAAAAATCCAGTATCTGAAATACAATCCTTACTTTCTCATGGGGAGCTGTGCGTTCAGTAGGGACTTCCACCAAGTTTCCATCACTCTAGGATCAAACCCAAGTCAACAGGAATTTAATACTTAAGAGAAAACAGCAGAAGCTGGCTATATTTTGTGAGAAAGTTATGCTGAAAAGCACACTATGAATTAGCTATGCAGAGTCAGTATTTTTAGGCTGCACATGTTAAATCAAGTGTTCATACCTTTTCACTGTTTCCAAAGGGACCAGCTGCAACTTCAACCATTATACTTGCCCCATTCTGAAATTAAAGTTATTTTTCAAAAGTCAGAATTTAATACATCAAAACATTCACACTATGTTTACAAAAACTGTTTGTACCTCCTCTTACAATTCAGGATTGGAAAAATCCTGAACATCACGGGGAATGCAGGAGATTTGTCTGTATCAGACAGTATTGTTTTGCATTAAAAACATGTAGTCCAGCCTAAAATAACTGTTAAAAAAACCCCAAAACCAAACAAATCCACTAGATGTATAAAAAAAACTCCAAAACCAAACAAATCCACTAGATGTAGCTGGAAGTTTAGATAAAAACATGTCAGCTTTTCCTGCCATAAGCTTTCTGCTTCAAAATAAAAGCAGGTATTGCTTGCACACAGGTCATACTACCCTGGCATATGAGCACTGCAGAAACTACTACAGCATGTTCCAATATATGAGTGTTGAAAGCAAAAGCTGAAAAACTGAAGGGCAGTAATTTCTCATCATCACAATGTCCCTCAACTGGGGACAGTTTCCTTCTGGACACGTGATTGCTATAAAAATTTAGGCAACTGTTGTCTTGAATGGGGAAAAGAAGAACAGGAAGTCAACTTTTCCAGCTTGAGAACTGAAAGCACTGACCTGTTGGACAAAAATACTGCCCCAATGACCAGACATTTTTCTTCTTAAGATAAATCACAGACATACCTTTGTGATAAATGGTGTTATGAAGACGAAAAACACATCATATAGAAGGAGAAGGCCTAGAAGTATTACACAGGACTGGAAAAAGACAGAAGAAAATATCACTGTAGGTTTTCAAGGATTACATAGCTAGATTCTGGTGCCATTACTGTACTACCATGTGAAAACCAACCCACCCCAATCCCATCCCTGCCATGTTTTTTAATCTGGCATAAAGTTTAGAACAGGATTAGTTTCTTTTAATAAGTATTAAAGAATGCAAGGATTATAATTTTGATATATAGTTCTTGAGTGTTGAAAACCTACTTCCTGACAGTAAACTTGCAGATTCATGGCAGTACAATACTATCTTAAAGTAAGCAACTTACAGTACCTTAAAGTTGGGCATTTTCAGTGTTTTGATGAAGTTTAGGCAGAAAGCAACTCCCAAAATATCTTGCAAAATCCAAGCCCACCTAAAAAAAAAATATGTACATTTTTACAAGTTGTTCAAACTACTACTGGAATCTAAGTGCAATAATGACTTGATTTTAGCAAGAAATGAGTTTTTCAGATTTATTGCTACCAAAACCACAGAAGTCCTAGTTTCAAGATGTTCAATTTACACTAGTCTCTGATCATGAACAGGTAACTGTGCTGGTAATGATTGGGATAGAATTAGTATCCTTCATAATAGTTGGTTTGGGCTATGTTTTGGATTTGTTCTGGTAAGTGCTGCTAACACAGAGATGATTTAGGTACTGCTGAGCACTGCTTACACAGAGCCAAGGCCTTTTCTGCTCCTCACCCCACTGGCAAGGAGGCTGGGGGTGAACAAAAAGTTGGGAGGGGACACAGCTGGGACAGCTGACTCCAACTGACCCAAGGGCTGAGCATGACACCATAGCACATGGTGTCATGTTCAGCATATAAAGCTGATGGAAGGAGGAGGAAGGGGAGGATGTTTGGAGTGATGGCATTTGTCTTCCTGAGTAGCTGTTACACATGGTGGAGCCTTGCTTTCCTGGGAATGGCTGAACACCTGCCTGGCCCATGGGAAGTGGTGAATGAATCCCTTGTTTTGCTTTGCTTGCCTATGCAGCTTCTGCTTTATCTATTACCTATTAAACTGTCTTTATCTCAACCCATGAGTTTTCTCACTTTTACCCTTCCAATTCTTTCCCCCATCTCACTGGGGGTGGAGTAAATGAACAGCTGTGTGGGACTTGGTTGCTACAACACCAGTGTTCTACAGAGAAAATGAGTCAAACATAGGCTCTAACAGGGCCTTGGTGTTCCCCTGTATGACTGTTCCCTTGACTGAAAGCCCTATTGAACATCTGGCTTAGGATGCTACTTGACACACACTATAATATTTGTGCATTTGTGGTCCTGTGCTTCCACTGGCCCATAGGAAGCACAGGCCCTATGGTCCCTATGCTATTCTGCACCTTTTTTTTCTTCTGTGGCAGTCATTAGCAATCAAGCTAGTTCTTCCTCATCTTCATAGGTTTTTTTTCACTTCAAATTACCACACGGTTCATTTGCATAGCTTTGTTCTCTATTACTCCGATGCTTGTTAAGCTTCATAAATACCTTCATGACTTTTTTTGAAACTGGCAATGGAGTTTAGAAGGATGCTCTGCTCCAGGATTAGCTGTACGATGGGAAGTTCATTAACAACAATTATTCAAACTATTCTTAAGTCAGAATGCATCACTTACCTATCTTCATTTCGAAACACTGCCCAGACAACAGCTGCTGCTATGCAGAATGCAGCAAGAAAAATAAGCCTCACTTCAATGGTTTTGTTGCAACATGTAATCCTAAAAGAAAATAATTCAATTAAAAGAGAAAGCCTGCAAGAGCCAAGACACATGCCTGTGCTATCACAGGTCCTTCAGCTAACAAGGTGTTCTCATCCCAAGAGCTTCTCCTTTGCCCATCTGTTCCGTGCAGGCTCAGGTGGCATTATTCTTGCAACTGCACTGCCAATCCTTCTCTGAGCTGCACTAAAAACAAGCCAAGTGGGGCTTTGATGACCTGTCCTCATTTTAGCAACACATGCAGGGAAGGCAGCAAGCAGATGTGTTTAAGTCATTTCAGTCGTGCAACAACTATGCCAACTGAACTTTGTCAGTGAGGGACAGCAGTGCCATAACTGCACAAAGGGTGATGGTGAGGAGAATCAATTTAAGGACACATAATACAAGATTAAAAGTGGAGTAACTCTGCATTGCGAAATTGCGAGCCAAAATCCATTTCCACCACCCACTCAATTTGCTTTGACAGTTCTTGACCTGGTATTAACTGACAGAAGCAATGCTTGTCCTGCAGCTTACACAACACCTGTTGTCTTTTCTTCCTGCTCTCTACCTTTGATGGGCTGCTGGATCACCTGGCACGAATATCCTGTGCTAAATAACATGCAAACATAACTGCATGATTTCAAGTTCATAAGCATCGTTCCTTTGGGAAGAAAGGACCATTTGTTGCATTAAACATTTGGGTTCTTTAAAGTGAAAATACAGGGGAAGAAAACAGGGACGTTCCCATACCCACTGATACCTGCAGGACATTTAACTCAGAGCAGTAAGAGGCTATGGGTACACTGACAACACATCACTCAAGTTAGGACTGTAACTGCTGATGTCTAACATGGACCACATGAGCAGTGTGTTGTCTTCACAAGAAAGTTAAAACCTGGAGTCACAGGTATAGTGCAGATTCAGATGAGGGAAAAAAATCCTCTTATTGCCTATAGTGTAGTACTTGTTCAAAACAGGATCAAACATGCAGGATCCCCCCCTTACAGAGTCCCATGATGAACAGAATGAGCACACCCAACAGGCAACCAGAATTTTGTGGAAACAATCTCAGATGGCCAAGCAGAGCCTTTCAAGTAGGATTACAGCACTGCTTTCAAATAAAGGTAATGCAGCAAATCTCCAACAACACTATTTGAACTGCTGATTATGCTAGATACATTTAATATCTATTAAAGGAGCTTATAATTTTCTTTTTTAACTACCCCACACGCTAAACCATAGAGCAAACAAACTGTCAAACTGCTTGTCAAACTGTTCCCACATTTTCATGCTACCTAGAGTAGCAACCAGAAAATACCCAAAAGAAACCTTACAGTAACCAAGAGGTGTACAATACCTGCACTGCCCATATGGTATTTCTCCAATTAATGCTGCCAGACAGTTGTACAGGCTCATTGCAGATGCCAAGCAGAAGACTGAGATTATAACATATACTAAATAAACAGAATGAAGGTGGGAATCAGTGACAAAAAAAGATGGCCAAGCAGAGCCTTTCAAGTAGGATTACAGCACTGCTTTCAAATAAAGGTAATGCAGCAAATCTCCAACAACACTATTTGAACTGCTGATTATGCTAGATACATTTAATATCTATTAAAGGAGCTTATAATTTTCTTTTTTAACTACCCCACACGCTAAACCATAGAGCAAACAAACTGTCAAACTAAACTGCTTGCTGTTCCCACATTTTCATGCTACCTAGAGTAGCAACCAGAAAATACCCAAAAGAAACCTTACAGTAACCAAGAGGTGTACAATACCTGCACTGCCCATATGGTATTTCTCCAATTAATGCTGCCAGACAGTTGTACAGGCTCATTGCAGATGCCAAGCAGAAGACTGAGATTATAACATATACTAAATAAACAGAATGAAGGTGGGAATCATTTTCATGCTACCTAGAGTAGCAACCAGAAAATACCCAAAAGAAACCTTACAGTAACCAAGAGGTGTACAATACCTGCACTGCCCATATGGTATTTCTCCAATTAATGCTGCCAGACAGTTGTACAGGCTCATTGCAGATGCCAAGCAGAAGACTGAGATTATAACATATACTAAATAAACAGAATGAAGGTGGGAATCAGTGACAAAAAACAGCAAACAGGAATCAAACACAGCAATGTACATTTGATATAAACTGTTAACAGTTATAGCAGTGCTCAACAGTCACTGGAGACTGTAGTCAGATGATTATACAAAGTGCTAAATTCTGAGTGTCTCTGCCGTGGCAAAGTTCTCATCAAGCAAAGACCTGACTTAGAGTTATCAGAATTGCTTTCTACCCAGATCTGCACTACCAAACCCCAGCTAGCAAAACCTCTTCTCATCAAGCAAACTCTAAACACTACTAGGTTGTCACTGCCATCCTCCTAAGAACATTGACATAAATCATATACTTTTTTGACTCATTGCTAGTCACCTCTCTTCCACACTACTTCATTCAGAATAAGCACTGTCAAGGCAGACTTTGTAAGGCAGTAGAAGAAATCTTCTCTTCTTTAAGCAGCAACTGCATCTTTTCAACCCTCAACTCGTGTGGGGAGAACAATTAAAAAAGTTACATTCATTTCAGCTTAAAAAAATCTAGCTTTTCAGATTTAGACACCTAATGAGATGACGTAGAAAAATAAGTCAAATGAGAGTATTCATTGTCTCTTACCCAACCATTTGTAGAAGAAATAAAGTAAGAGCAGCATGACACAACAGATGACAACAAACAAGATAACTGTTACAGGGGTGAAAGTAATATTTTCTTCCTTCTTCTGTCTGGTTTCTCTCTCCCCAGGACTTGCTATTGCTTTCAAATTCTCACTGTTTAAGAAAACAACAAACACATTTACCTCAATGACAGATTATGAAAACATTTTACCAAGCAGAATTGTTGGTTACAGAGCATTTACACTGACAGTGTTTCAGTTTAATCCTTCATACTACTATTAGACTTAAACCCACAGACAAATGGGATGCTTATTGTTTGAGTTTCTCTCCATTTTTAATGAAGATATGTACTTCCAACCTAGCACAGATCACAGGGATCCAGTTGTGAGGTGATTGCCAACTTTAAGGAACACCCCACTTCCAATCTAGCACAGATCACAGGTGATTGCCAACTTTAAGGAACACCCCCTGATCCATGTGAGGAAATCTAGTCCAACACTATTACACTCCTCATCAGGATGCACCCACTCAGCTCAACTGGTGCATCACCTCTTGAGCTAAATGCAGACAATCTGATAAATATGCCTACAATAAATCACAATCATGGGTATTGCACATTGGTTTAAAACCTTTCGCAGACATTAAGTGTCTGCAAAGCCCATTCATGGCAGCAGAATGAAGCCAGCTAAGTACTTGTTCTTTTACCTTGACACCCCATAATTACAGAGCAAGTGAAAGTGAGGAGGTGTAATTGGGGATTTTCACTGGAAGTAAGATTTCTGAGCATACATACTCCATATTTATACCTCACCATGCAAAATAAGGAGACTTAAATTGCTGTGTTTGTTCTTTGAGCAGATAGCTCCTCAACTCTTTAGTACAGACGCTAGTGCAACTTGCCCATCAGATAGCATGTTCCTGATGAATCCCAGGACCTACCTACAAAATGCTGAATTCAGCACTGAAACAACGACCTTCAAAAGAGAAAAACCCACAGAAGCAAGGCACTTTGTTAGATGAATCACCTCCTTAGAGGACATGCTTTGAATAAGGAGCTTTTAAAAGGAAAAGCTCACCCCAGATTTATGAAAGCACTTTAACAAGTTTAGTAAATTACATCTAGGTATTTTTCAATATGGGAGACAGCATCACATTTTGTTATTTTAGCATTCAGTGCAGCCACACCCTGTAGAACTGCAGGGTGAAAAAGATGCATAATCAGATCCAACCTTTAAAAAAAGCAACATCCACACCTCCCTCCCTCCTTCTTCTTCTTCTTTAATCTCTTTAAAATCACTAGGTTTGCATAACTAGTGGGAAAGAGGAAGCTGTTGTTATCACATACAATCCTCTCCCTGTTGCTCTGTGGAGCAAAGCTCCAGAAGACAGCTGAGAATGGGAAGGTAGCAACACACACTAGCCCATTCATCACACAGAGACACCCAAGAAATACTGCAGAATAATATCATGATCTCAAAGGCCAGTTATGGCCAGTTTAACCCAACTATAAACAGTTATGTGCACTGAGTGTGCAGCACTTCAAACTGCACACTGCTCACACACTGTGCAGAAACCCCTACTGTCCCTTGCTTCCCTGCTTTTACCACAGTCTACACTCCCTCCTCTTCCTTGCACAGGAACTGCTGTTGCCTCTTGGCTCTTGCCTAGTCCTAGAGCTGCTGCTGCCCTGGCTCAGTTGCTCCCCCAGATAACACACAAAGCTGAAGCAGATAAGCCAGGTTGGACTTTATCTGCAACCAGCCAGACACAGCCAAACTGTATTTCCCAGTGCACCTAGTGACAGGAGTGCTGCACAGCCAGCTGGGATGGAGCAGCTGTACAGATCCCTACCAATGTAGACACTACATACAACTACATATGTACCTCTTGAATCCCTGGACTTTGAAGGTGTCATTGAAATACCTAATTTCTGCTGTGGATATTGGAAAATTATGGTGCTAGTCATGGAGTGTTTGGTATTTTGTCAAAATGTTAATTCATTCCTCCTCCCAAGGGCTGCATTATCCCTCAGGGACTTTTACAATCTATTACTCAAGGTTCCTCAAAGACCTAAGGAGACTTTTCAGAGGTTGCAGTGCTGAAGTATTTCATGGCAAAGCAGCTACATGCACTTAGATCTTCTAATTTTGTAACTACCAAGACAAAAGAAAATAATTTCTCACTGATCAGACTGACAGTTTCATGATGACAAGCTTTGCAGTCCACGTAATTTAAGCAATTCTGTTTAACAAACTTACAATTCTGCTACTCCACTCCAGTAGCCTCCCAGTGCCACAGTGAACACAGCAATTAGGAAGATGACAACCATACTGTAATCAAACTCTGGCAAAGGTGGTGAATACAAAGTCACATTCACTTCACTTCCAAGTGCCTGAAAAATAACATACAAGTTGGTTCATAAGGAGAACAAATAAATTATATTGCTTATTTTCCAACAAGAGGTACATCATGATTTCCTGCTCTTAATCTATGCAATGCTGACAGCAAGTTTACAACTTACTGCACAAGACATCCCATTTATTTGCCAAGAAGCAATGCTTCCCATGCTACTTTTCAGGATGGCCAGGTTTGGAAACAACCCTGTTACTACTGCTGTGGAAACACAGCAATACCACAAGACAATAAGGTACTTCTTTGCATTCTTTACACACTTCTGAGAACTTGTACCTCTAGCCCAAATGCCTTCCTCAAATATACCAAGTACTATCAAAGCCATCTGCTCTGCAGGAAAGCATATCTGAGCCAATCAACTTGAACTACAAACTCACAGGTCTATTGAGATGTCAGCAGAGGTTAACCTCTAGCTCTTGAAACCACAACATTCACAGTTCAGATACAGACATGATGCTTCAGACAGAACACAGTGAAAACTCAAAGTGTCAGAAAGTTATTCACTAGCAGCTTTATACAAATCTGATTTGAGATGGACTCAAAAGAAAGCAATTTCACACAACTGAAAAAAAAATCTAAACCCAAAGTTTTTTAAAAAAGTCAAAGGACAATGAAGAAAATACGAGAGAACACAGAGACATAACTGCTACTGAATTGAACAAAAATCATGGAAGCAAACCCAAGATGCTTCATTTGACTGAAAGGTGAGATTTATTCTGTGACTCTGTGATTTGAGGAAAAAAAGGATGGTAACTTGACAGGAAATGGAGGGTGGTAGGAAGACAGGTAGGCTTGCTGTTGCAGTCAAAGTAAGACAAGACATCTAAAGTAATCGTGCAGTGAGAACAAACTTCACAGATGCGGCAGAAAACCAGATTTGTTTAAAATCTGCATGTGAGATAAAAGCAGGAGAGCAGAAGAACATGCCAGGCAAGTGTGGCTACAGGAAGATCAAACTAGCAGTGGAGAGACTGAATGGAAAGCCCAGTAGTGTAGTGGAATACAGCGGCCACATGTGAGGAAAGCTGATTCACTTCAGCATCTGAATTATCTAATTACAGATAATAACCTTTCTACAGGCTAAAGAAGCCAGAATCATTCTTTTGCCTGAAGTTATCGAAGTTCAGAAAACAAGAAATAAAATTAAATTCTAGTGAAACACTGCAGCTGTATAAAGTGGAACTTAACACTAGATAAAGGGAAAAAAACCAAACCCTATTCGAATTACAGCATCCTCTATGTAAAAAACCCCCAACAAAACACCGAACCAAACTCACGAAACAGTGCAAAAAAACAAGAAGAAGCCTAAAGGGTTACACATTTTTAGTATTCAATTCTAACATGTCTTAATCGTTTCCTTCTGTAAATTTCATAAATCTTACAAAGTGTAATTCACATTACAATCTAGAGGAATTGTTTCCTTTTGTTCCTATTGTTCTTCTCCTCACTAAAAACTTGCAAAGTCTCAACTTCCACCACAGGGAGGACTAGAATCAAATAGATTGCATCAGATAACAACTCTGCAAGAGAGCTGCCCACTTACTAGGTTTGTAACACTCTGCTATTGCTATCAAGACTAACAACAGCTGTATCAAATGGTGAAGGCTAACAGATGAAGTCTTGCAAGAAAAAGCAAAAAGAATGCTTATACAAACTAGTTACTCTCAGACTGGTGCTGTCTCTCTCTTCTAAATACAAAGAGAAAGCTGTAAGCCTTAGAAAGAGTTAAACCAGAAATACAACTGTAGTAGGAAGAGTATAATGGCTGCCAGAGCCTAAGCAGCACATATCATTCAAAACAACAGCTGCCAGTGATATGACAGAAGGCTTTGCAAAAAGAAAACTAGACCAGAACTAGGAAAGGATCACTAGTAGTCTAGGCTATGTTCCTCACTACTTTTATGAAGGCAGTATCATCGTAAGACAAAAACAAATTCTTCGATTCAACAGCAGTACGAGACATCATCTGGCACATCAATCTACTAGCAAAGTTGCTTTGGTGAATTACTACAGCTATACAGAAGTGATTCTACATGACACCACCCCAAGCACAACTAGGCAATAAAGTGGTGCAAAGAAGATTCAGAACCAGTTAGGGACCTAACCTTGCCCTAGTTCCCTTTCATGTTAGTAGGGCATCTTAAAACCACTCAACTAAGCAAACAACACTTGTCTTCCTTGAAGGAACAAATCTGAAGACAGGACAACCTGAACCAAACCCACAGTATTCATCAAGGCTATAGCAGACTGAGGACAGTCATCACAACCCTTCAGTCATGTCAGTGCTCAGCAAGTACCAATCTTTAATGGGAACAGACAGTAAACAACCAAAGTCCTACACATCTAGGCAGTTTCAGTTTGCATACTTACCTAAGACAACCTCCCATGGCAGCTCTGAAGATTAAGAGCAGAAATGGTGACGTGAGCTTGCAAATTCAACCCAAGAAGCTACGACTACGCAGGTTAGTGTCAGCCTCTGCTATTCACAGAAAAATGTGCAATGCAACTCCTGCTTAGCAAAACTATTTAACACTAAGTAAAAAACCCCAAACCAACAATATAATAACAACAGAAAAAGCCACACCAAAGAAAAGATACTGTTTTCCTTAAAACCCTCTGCAGTATTCTGTAAACTAATATCACATGTCAGGGAAAAGAAACTCCAAGTACTCCCAAAACAAACTCCCCTGCTTATAGTGTAGGAGATAGCACAACCGCCATGTTTTAATAACATGCACTTGGCATCTCACCTTGAACTCACCAGCAGAAACTCAAACTAAACTGCCTAATCACTCTGTAACAGATGCTGTCATGCTGTATAAAGAGAGAGCTCATCACCTGGCAAAGACAAAAACACCCTTACACCATCCTCAAGATCCAACCTGGTAAGGTACTGCTTGCCTGAACAATATCATGCCAGCAGACACAAGCTCAACTGTTCTAGCTCTATGCTAAAGGAACAGCCCTCTCAGGCTATAGCTCTTCACACCTGCATAAAAATGTCTGCTGGAAGTCAGATGATCTTGCTTAGCAGGAAGACTTCTAAGATTTTCCTGTCTCCAGCTAGGTACTGTGTTTCCCATTCTTCGTGTTCTAATCAATCATTCTCTCTCATTCACCTGAATTAGGAAGACTAGCACTTCCACAACTTACTGTCCATCCTCCTCTGTGAAACAGAAAGCAGTACCTATGCACATCCAAATCAGGCAAATATCCAGACCTGGCCTGAAATTATTGTATTTATTTGTTCAAATACCTAAGTTTATACAAACCATAACATGCTGAAGTTGTATTACTTACCAGCTGCATATCTACTATGTCATTATATCTTATAAGAGCAACTGGAAGAGTCACATCTTCAAAATCAGTCTTGTTATCTGAAATAGAATACTAACAGAGAGAGTGTCAGTGGTAACTCTGTTCAGCCTATTTGCAAAGCAGGTTAGATCCTTAAAAGCAGATTATCCTTTAAATTTCAGGGTATTTGTAGAAAGGTAAAAACCAAAATGCTCATTTATCACCCATAGCAAAGAGTTAGTGAAGACAAAAGTACTTGAATCAAAACAGGTGATATTACCAACACGTCTGGATTCATACAGTTGTTCTGCTTTTATAGTATTACAAAAACTGGTTTTATTCTCTACACTTCTAAAACAAGATTAACTTTTCATGATAGTCACACAAATTCATGAATTGCATGTATTTGTACATACATGTTGCAGCTATAATAGAGAACAGAAAACCAACAGAAGTATCTGTGAATATATCTCAAAATGCCTTTTTTTATTCTAATTCTGCATTACATTTTCCTGGCTTATTTTTATCACGCGTGGCTAAGACAGTATCATCTGAGATTACATGGAGTTCAGAGTCCACTAAAATTAGGGAATGATAAAGACAAGTACTTGCATTCTGAAACATCACAGACACAGGGACTGACTGAAAGTACAACTCAGACCAAACAGATTTCGCTACAGAAGAAAACTGTATGTTGTAACTTACCAGCCTAGATTTACTGGCAATCAGGAGCATTTTAGCACCCAAACTTTGTGCAATTCTTGCTTTCTCCAAGAAAGTGCAGTTTCCTCTCATCACTACAACTGCTTTGTCCTTCATTACTCCAGGACGAACTTCGGATGAACTGCAGAGGACTGTAGAAGTCAGGTTTTCCAGAGTCCAGTAAGTCTGCAGAGAGAAGAGGAAGAAAAGGAACATGATAGAAGGAAATTTGATATTGCAAACTAATCTAGATGCCGAAGGAACATTACTGTGTTCCTTAGCATGAGGTTTACCAGAAAGTGGTGTAACAGAAAGGAATGATCAATTCAGGGATATAAAAATCACAGCAGCAGTTTCTGCAGCCTGCAGTACTGAGGGACATTTAGAGCACTGTATAGCTGAAAGAATCTGTTTTTTTTAAAATGCAGTTTCACAGCAGTTGCTACTTGGAATTTAAACATAAGAAACTGGTTACATAGGTAAATCACTACTGATAGTTCCGGGGAATTGTTACACTCTGATATTTCCAGGCTTCACAAGCCTAGAAAGCACTGACAGATACAAGATAATCAGAGCTTCAAAGTATAACACTTGTTCAAAACCAGTTGTTGTGCCTGATAATGTATTACTTATTACAAAATATTCTTCAAAATAAGGATTTTTTAAAAATTAAATTTCATATTGACAATTATCTTTAAATTATTAACAGTTTTCTTTAGTTAGTCAAGACATCCCCGTGGCCAAAGTGGCACAGCAAAGATGTCTGTCGCAGACAAATGATTTTTACTCTGGTTTACACTGAGTTATCTCTGAATCAATGACAAAAGGGAAGGCAGAGCAGAGTGCCCTGATCTGTCCCAAACACACAGTATTTCCTGTTTACATGAAATGTGCCTACAGCACATTTATTCCTGCCTCACACCCTAGTTTGGCTCAAAACTCAGAAAACATGATACATTCCAGATAATTTCCTATTACACCACATATTTTCAAGACAATTAAACAGTACATCAAGCTGATGAACCAACATAAAAAAATATTCCAGAAGTTTATCATTTTTTATCAACAAACAGAAGTTTAACTCCAAAATATAAAACTTAGACGTAATTATAAAACCCAAAGAACAAAAATTAACAGTATCAAATACATAAACAAATTCAAAATCAGCGCTAAGCACAGAGAGTATCTAGTTTGTAAACCTGAGAAGCTAAATTTTTAAAGGACAGACATGTTCACTACAGATTTACTTATTTTTGAGGGGTGAGGAGGGAGGGTAACATGACCCAAAATGGTTCATAGTCAGGGCAGCACCTATTTAATTCAAACTTTTATAGATCGGTCATAACTGACCCAAATTCATACTACATTCTAGTTTTCTTAGAGAGTATGACCATAAGCCACTTACAGCATTGTCCAGGTTTTTTGAAAGGGATGTCCAATTAGAATTGTAAATTATGCAGTAATCCTTTGTTACTGGAGGAACTCCACTTCCCACGGCGTGCAGGATCCCCTCGTGTGCCGTTACCTGCAATAAACCATGGAGCTCTGAATCAAACAAGGGTCAGAGTATCACTTATACAGACATTCTTCTAAAAAACTGTTAGGAAGAGAAAGAGCTGCTGGGAGAAAAGAAATGTATCCAATTGATTGTTTTAATCATGACTGATTCCATGAGAGACAGGCAGCTTGAGAGCAGGAGGGAAAACTAGGAAGAATCTAGTTACTGTGTAACACTGATTAACCTCTTTGCAAATACAATGTATTTTTTACATGTACAGTTCATGTCCCAAGTAGAATACCAGCAAGAAACCCAGGCAAAGGATTTCAGCATCTATATCCTGTGCTCTCCAAAAAAGTGTAAATATTTACATGGAAAGTAATTAGAACAGTGCATGGAAAAGAGATGAATGTCCTTCACTTCTTGCAGACTCAAGAATTTCTCCTAATAATATGGGACTATATGACAAAAATATAGTACCATATGACAAAAATATGGTACTATATGACAATTCCTAAGACATTTTTTGTCAAATAACTGTAGACACAAAGAGATAAACTCATGTGCTTCAAGAAGAATTTGTGTAGTTAAGGAAATACAGGTGTCTCTTAAGATTAGAGTCCCTCACAATGTAATTTCTATTATTTAGTAATACATCTGAAATTTAACACTTCTGATAACTTCAGGGATATATACTTCTCCCCAGGGATCAATAAAGGTCAGGCATCTACGTGGATGAATGAACAGACCGAAGATTAGATGCCCATACAGCTGCAAAGTAGTGAAAACAAATAAACATAATTTGTATCTCAAAGAAGTGCCAACTTAAGAAAATTGGGAGATTATCTCATTTCAACTGTGTTTTGAGACAGAAACTGACCTCAATATGAAGTGTCATTGGGTTAAAAAAATGAAATCCTGTTGTAAATTCCAGATTTGTATAAAAGAACACTGAGATATTAAGCTAGAAGTAGGCATGGGGATGGCAGGAAAGCCCAAATAGTTGTTAGATATACAATGCTAACCATTAACAGAGCTATAGAGGCATTTCTCCTCAAGCTAGCAGATCTGTATTCTACAGCAAGTGAGAACTGGAGAGAAAAGAAAAGCATGTGATGATATTGTTTCAGAGGTTTGTGTCTGCCTGGTTTGAATAGCAAAAAACCTTCTTCAGAGGAATCCATTATATTGGCCATAGAGCATGAACATCTGCTGGGAGAACTGTGTCAAAGGGCCTGAGCACATTAACTGTTTAACATAGAACAGTTCTTCAGCTGTCAGCTAAAATAAATTGTTCCATGATTTGTGGCCAGCACAAAATTATCAAGCCTCCCTCTTAAGCACACTCACCTAAAAGTACAAACTAATGGCAAATTAAAAGCAGTGAAGACTTCCAACAGGTGCAAACCCCAGATGTTTCCGTCCATTAAAAGCTCTTTCTGCTTCACAAAGTAGAATAATAAGTGTTTTCTAGTTCCAGGAAATCAAGTGTTAATGCTACACAAGCACAAATCTACCTAGAAGGAGTGATTACTTGCTTATTTGACACACATGTTTTGTTTGGCAAACTTCCCTCCTCTGGGGATGAATCAGGGAACACAATTTATCCTCACGAGGTGGAGGGAGGCAGGACCAGAGCATGACGTGTACCCACACGTATTCATTGCTCAGCTCTGAAGACAGCACTCAGAAGTTAAAAATCAAAAGAAATGCTACATGATACACCTCCCTTGGGACATCCCCACTGAAATCCTGTTGCATCCAGCTGAAGTTCTGTCATTTTCTAACCGCTTCAGTATCCTTCTTTCACAACAGACAAGGGCTACTAGTTTGGGTACCTGGCCTCGCAGCCAGCTGTGCCACTGAACAAATTCTGCTCTCAGCACACATACACAGTAAAAATTTCTTACTGAGCACATCTTGTTACTTAAGAACAAGACTAAAAGTATGTCCACAAAACAGACCCTGAAAAGATTAACCTACTTCCATAGGCTGACTTGCTCGGGCATAAAAATGTTCCCACATGGAGTAGAGCCATGAGAGCTGTCCTTACCTAAAGGACACCATTTCCTTTCACTTGAGGTTCAGACAGTTCCTAATGACCTCTCACCTCCAAACAAATTACTTCCTGTTTCTGACAGGTAGTTCTCCCATCATTTTTCCTTCCCTTGCTACCTTTAAACTTTTCTTGCATAATTCCTCATCTTTGATAGAGAAAAAGTCTCATTCTGTCTCTTAATCTCCATTTTTCCTAACATGTCCCTGTCACTGCAGGGATGTAAGCTTGGGCTGACTGCTGAGCTTTGGAGTGTAGCAGTAACCCACCACAGAGATTACAGGAAGTCAGATGAACCAGTAGACACAGAGACCAAACCAAACCCATACTTACAACATCCACCACAAATATCATCTAGATAATACATACAGAAATTCAAAGGTATGCAACCGGAAGAAGTTTTTTGTATGTAGCAAGTAACAACATAAACCTCACAGAAACATAAAAAGGAAGCAAAAAACTACCCATGAACAGAACAAGCATAATTTTGTTGTTCTACCAGTGGCCCTGTGACACACACAAACTGTCCCTTCCCCCCTACCTCCAGGCACTGTGGCCCAGGAGAACAGGGACCCATGCTCACAGAGCAGCAGTTATCCTTCCCCAAACACCTACCACCTTCCCAAGTGCCAACTCCCCATGCTGTTAATCTCAAGACACTGTTCTTGAGGTGGAAAGACCGGGTCTAATGCTCATCACTGCTATAACTGCATTTGTAGAGTGAAGCAGGCAGGATACAGGGCCTGGAGTCTTACAGGAGGGCAGAAGCCCCTTCCTTTTAGCAGCAGCACCAAATCATTGGGTTAAGGAGCAAAGCTATTCTTCAGAAAACCTCAATACAACTAGTCACAGCTATGTGGGACTCAGGAACAGCTAAGCAGACACGAATTACTTCACCCAAGGCATTCTCAAGGCACTCACAGACTGCACTGTGCACCTGTTGCTGAGCATAGCCAGTGGTGACTTCCTACAAACGAAAGTACTCTGCATCTGTCTTACCAAAACAAGGCAAAACCTACGTTAAAATTACACAGACAAACAAAAAAGACCAAACCCCAAATAATTCAGTACAGCAGTATTTACTGCAGATATGGCCTTCATACTGTCTAAGCAGATTACTGAGGTTTTTGCCTTCCTCATTTCACTACCCCCTTTGGCCGAAACTGCTCTGCCAGATTTCCACGGCGATACACACTTGAGCGGAGGGAGAAGACGCAACTATGTCCTATACCGAAACCAAAACGGCACTGCCGATAAACA